ATGGTGCTTATCTGGACAAAAACCATGAGTGTAGCTGTGCAGGAAGTGTCTGGCCTGTGTCATGGGTCAGATAAACTGCTGGTTTACTCCAGAAACAAAGAGGACTGGTTGGTTAGGTAGACATCAAAGCTCTTGATAGGTGAGCAGTAGAAAAATTGAGACTAAAGGTATCTAAGATAGGAAGATTGCAACATTTTTAAAAGGATACATTGGAGTTCAGAATTAGAAAGTAAGATAAACTGACACCAAGAAATATTCAGTGTAGCCTATAATTTGGATTTGCCTTACAGTGGATTAAAAGGGCAGATGTCAGATCAATAAGTGAATATTTCTACATATAAAAAATATCTTTGCAGATTATTTATATGTAATCTTTCCTTTTGGTTTTTCTTCATTTTCATTTCAGATGCTTTGTTTTCTCATGTAGTTTTGAACATAGCCACAATAAATGTGAATTTTCCAAGAAGACCTTTGTTGTAGTGAGTGACCATTTTTTAATAAAACTGTTAATACTTAGTAATGCCAAATATTAGGAGAACCATATATGCAATAATCATTATAGGTAGGAAAGGATATGAATATTTGCATCTATGACATGGTCTTTTGTGATCTAATATATTGAGTTGACATTCTTACATTATGATTTGTTCACTGTAAGATAACTTTAATTCTTGTTAAAGTAGTGAATACATTGTGTTAAATAATGATAATAGCCACCATCTGGTTAGTCTGCAGTTTTAATTCTCACCACCATTCTGCAAGCTAGACTAGATAGCATTTTATAGAGAAATCTGAGTGGTGTAATAATTCTTCACAGATCCCAGCAACTAATTACGGAGCTGGCATTGTCTTGAAAGTAGGTGTCTTAATTCTCGCTGTGCCTCAGATGTTCCTGTGGCACCTAAACAATAACAGTGGACACAACAACAACAACAAAATACCCACTCAAGCTTCTTCTCCAGCAATTTGGGTTTAGTAAATCTGCAGTAGAGCCAGAATTCTGATACCACCAGGATTGAGAACTACTTGCTCTGAAACTTGTGTTCTTTCCACACTAATATCTCTTGATTATATATAAGCAATATCCATTACTTAAAATTTAATTTTAAACTTTGTTATTATGAAGTAATGATTTGTTATAAGATTTTTCCCCATAGGGCTTTTTTAGTGTTAGGACCCTTCAGGGTTGGCTGCAGCACAGTACTACCCTTTCCAAAGGAAAAGGGAAATAAATCAGTAGTAACCTTGGGGGGAAAAAAAAAAAAACACTTCTCTAAGCCTCAGAATTATCATCTGTGAAATATGGATAACAAACTTTTATTTATTTATTTATTTTTGTCCGTGCCATGCGGCTTGTGAGATCTCAGTTCCCCGACCAGGGATTGAATCCAGGCCCCAGCAGAGAAAGCCCAGAATCCTAACCACTAGACCACCAGGGAACTCCTGGGATAACAAACTTTTAAAGTTACTGTGAGGATTTAAGCAACGGTGGCTAAAACTTAGTAGATACTCAGTAAGTGGTTCTTATTTTTAAGAAAATATATTTATCATCTTAGCTAGAAGTAAAATGACTATATTAATACTAATGTCATAAAAAGTATAATTTTGTCTAGAATAGTGTCACACACAGAGTAAGAGTAAGACCTTTCTTGATCTCCATATAACTGACTTCCTGGATTTACAGACACTTTTTTTTTTAATCTATTTAGTTTTTCATATTTTATTTACTTATTTGGTTGCACCGGGTCTTAGTTGTGGCAGGCATATGGAATCTAATTCCCTGACCAGGGATTGAACCCGGGCTCCCTGCGTTGGGAGCTCAGAGTCTGAACCACTGTGTCACCAGGGAGGTCGCTACAGACACTTTTCATTCTCTGTGAATAAATATTGATAGATGCCCACAGCATACTGAAGTTTCAAGACCAGTAGGCTATTTTCCAGGAGGCCCAAATTAGTAAAGGTGTTTGCATATTCTTTACTTACCATGAATCTATTTTGTGTATTCACAAATCTGTTTGTGCCTTTTATGTTTGATATTATAATCAAGAAATTCACTTTAATAATATATAATAATGATGAAATGTGAATGCAAATAGTGTTTTTAAAAATACAAAAATCCAAAATAGATACTTTGGAAAGACTTCATGAAGGTTAATCAGTTAAAGTTTCCTGTCTGATGCAATATGGATGAGAAAGCAGTAGATAACTGGAAAAGAAATAATAAGACTCTGTGCGAATGTTGCACTTAGTTTGCATTTCCCGTATCTTTAGAATGCCATTTAAAAAAGTAAACTGCAAATCTTATACCCGGGTAGTTCCAGCTATGTTTTATTTAAGAAAAACAATTCTGAACCCAAAGTAATAGATCCACACTTAAAGAAAATAATCTTTGGTGAATATCACAAGATTAGCAGAATTGTGTATGTTTTATGAAAAAATAGGTAAGTAGAATTTTTAATCCTCTACAGTAGCTTTTTTTTTTTTTTTTTTTTTTTTTTTTTTTTTTTTTTTTTTTTTTTTGCGGTACGCGGGCCTCTCACTGTTGTGGCCTCTCCCGTTGCGGAGCACAGGCTCTGGACGCGCAGGCCCAGTGGCCATGGCTCACGGGCCCAGCCGCTCCGCGGCATGTGGGATCTTCCCGGACCAGGGCACGAACCGGTGTCTCCCGCTTCGGCAGGCGGACTCTCAACCACTGCGCCACCAGGGAAACCCAGTAGCTTACATTTTTAATTAACTTAGTTAATCCTGATCTGGTCAGATAAGAGAAATTTTACTCCATTTATATAAGGTGGGAATATAGAATATGCTAATTGGTGCCAGAAAGAATTTTAACTGGAAAGATTAGAATTACTTAAAAATTAGTAATTTCTTAGACTTACTTAGAAATTAGAAATACTGGCTAAAAGGTGAAGGTCTTTGCTGTCATCTGACAAAAGAAATGGATGAACAGAAATGTAGACCTATCTTTGACCTGTCAGGGTGTGACGTAGCACTACCCAGTGCCAATAGTAGCAATTTCAAATTTAGCTTCATGTAGTTGCATTTGGGCAATTGATGTAGCAAAAATACTACTACTGATATTAATAATAGTAATAAAAATTTTGAAGTATTTAAAGAGTAGGATACTATAGGCTAAACATGTTCAATTAGTCTACTAGTTTATAAAATAATAGAAGAGTTAATTGCTAGTAATAAAATAAAAACCATTGAAAATAAATATCACCTAGAAAGACTTCTAGAAATCAAAGGAAAAAATATATATAGAGAAAATAGGAATTTAACCTTTTGGTACAATTATTTTTAATTAAGAAGAACCATAGACCTGTTACTTGCTGGGTAAAAATATGAATGAGCACAATAATGAAATTCTTTTACACTTATTATTTTGCTGTCTGCTTTGTACCAGTTGTCATTGAAATACCTGTCTATATATATTGTGGTTACCTATACATTCACATTTATTGCATTTTGTTTGTTATGCATTTTTACTGATATATCTTCTCTGTCTGTATGTATTGGCTAGGAATTCATTTAAAATCATCTTCTATCGTGTTTTTTGGTTAATAGTATTCACTAAAATAGAGTGGGCAAAATTCACTTTCATAATATTGCATGTATGGTACAGAATGTCATTTGTTAGTAAATTCATTATGCTTTGATACTTGCCACATACCCCAGTTTTCATTAATATCTATGTATTTCTTTTTCATTATGTAATATGTTTTTCATGATTTTTCTTTGCCTTTCTAAAACTTATTGTATCTTCCTCCATATAAATCATACACAATATATAAAAAAAAGAAGAAGAACCATAGGGCATGTACTAATAGAATATAGAAATAGTCTGTTCACTTGAATGTGACTTTGTATAAAGAGGGCTATAATTTTATTAAATCCCATCAAATTTTATTTTTAGATTTAACTTTTTATTTTCAGTTAATATTAACTAGTGAAAATATTAGTGTAGCAGTGTGTTAAAATGACTAACTTATCTCAAGTTTATGAAGGTAAAAAGCGTATAACAATACCTGGCATGTAGTAAGTTCTGTAAGTGTTTGGAGTTTTTTGTTTTTGTTTTTTTACTCAGCATAACTTACCAATTAAGAGTATAGACTCTGGAGCTAGAATGCTTATTCAAATTCAATTTCTGCTATACTTTCTAGTTGTATGACTTGGGACAAGTTAATTTCTCTGTGCTTCAGTTTTCTTATCTGTTTATATGGGGAAAATTACATATTCTTTATGGTTGTGAGGATGAAATGAATTAATTATATGACAAGTTTACTATAATGCTTAACATATAGAAAATGCTGTACGTTTCCTGTTATATGCAAATTAATGGATATTTACGTATTAATCTGTGTTCAAGCGTATTGTAAAACATTGATACATTCATTGGTGATATAACCTGTCACAATTACAAACATAGTTATGTGGTTCTTCATTATATTTTTAGCTTACACTGTTTAAAAATGACACTACAGGAATGAAAGATGCCAGTAAGAAGATTGTACCTAAAAGCAATATTCTAAAATGACATTTGTCTACTTTTCAGATTTGTTTCTTGACTTCAGCAAAATTGGAAGCACTACAGATCAACTCCGTTTTCTCTTCTTTTTACTTTAAGGGAAAGAAAAAGACTTGGGCCAGAGTAAAATATATCAAATACATGTAGCTTGGTTCTGTATATTGCTATTTTTAATTGTTTTTTTCTAGAAGGGACAGTTGTCTTATTTCTGTTAGACCTGAAATCTCTGAAAATTCTGATTATCAACAGGAACTAGCTGATTAGATTGCTGTGTAATCACCTAACTCTAAATCTCAACCTTAGTAAATAGCCTGTATCAGGTCATTGAAATATTTGAGTCTATTATATAACTTATCAATTGCTATAAAAAAGCTCACACATACCATAAACTCCTTAATGAAATTAATGACAGCTTTGGTCGTCCAGGAGTAGAATGTTATTGCCAGCATGACAGTGGAGCTGCAGTAATCCAGCTCCAGTTCCTGATTAATGAGGTTAGTGAATTGCTTTAATCTCACCAGCTTATGTATGAAATAGGGCCACATACCATCTTTCAGAATCCTTGCATGCAATTATATTTAAATATTTGAACAAAAATGAATTTCTTGTAGGTCAGAGCTAATAGTAATTCACTTTAAGGCATCATCACAGACAGTTACATAAATAATGTAAGATGTTTCTCAAAACAGTATTGAAAATAGAATGGCATAAGGTAGATCTTTTTGGTACAGTGTGCTGCATTTAAATTTTATTTCAAGAATATTGAAAGTTATGTAACATATAAAGATCTACATTAAAGTTTTTTCAAAGATTGACCTTATTATAAATAACAAATTGTATTTCTCCAGTGGGTTGTTTTGAAATACATCCAGGAAACCAAAGTACATTAGAAACTGGTTATTGTCCAAAGTTCTTGTTGTGTCACTTATTGGTTGAAGTAATTGATGCCTTTCTTTCTGATAGAGTGTAAAGTTTGGAAGGAGCTAGAGATACATCATTTTATTAGCAGAGTAAACAATGTGTTTGCACGTCTTAAAAAAGTATGAGCAGCTCTGACAGTAGATGTTTACTGCAAGTAGTGACAGGCAGGAGAAGCTAGAAGGAAAAAAGCTAGAAGGAAAAGCTAGAAGCTAGAAAAGCTAGAAGAAAAATTACCCTAGGAAAGATTCTGCTATACTTAGATGTGAGGATAATTTGTGGGCATTCTTTTTGCCCCTAAGTCCTTGGGTTTCATGGAATAAATTTCTAGATGTATATGAGAGAAAAAAAAATACTTGATACTTTCGGCTTTTGATAAATCTTTTCTTCATATCAGAGGATTTAAGAGAGGCAGTATTGATGTAAAGAGTTAAAGAGGGTAATATAAAAATTTTAGTAAAACTGATCCAAATGATATGCAATCGTGTAGGTTTTTCAGGGTCAGAGGAAGTGTTTAAAAACTTCAGTATTCTGTGTAGAGCTGAATAATAGACATCGTAAAATGTTAAAATACACATAAAAATATCACAGTGTAGAAAGTTGTTGAATCCATATGTGAGATTATTTTTCCTTTTTTTTAAAAAAAATTTTATTATGAAATAATTAGACTGGCAATTAGTTTCAGAATAGAGAGGTCCTATGTACCCTTCCCCCATTTCCCCCAATAGTAACTTTTATGTAACAATAGTAAAATATTAAACCAAGAGAAAGACATCAATACAATACTCTTAACTAGACTACAGACCTTATTTACATTTCACCACCAGTTTCTACATGCACTCATTGTGTGTATGTGTGCATAGTTTCATGCAGTTTTATTCCCTGCGTACATTTCGTGTAATGACCAGCAGGAACAAGATTACAGATCGGTCCCATCACCGTGAAGTCATGCCCTCAGGCTATCCCTTTATAATTAATTGCACCCCCTCCTGCTCTCAGTCCCTAAGCCCTGGCAACCACTAACCTATTCTCCATCTTTATACTTGTGTTGAGATTATTTTTTTTTAAGCAGTATGAGCCAATGTAAATAACACATTGCAAATAGATACTTATATGCCTAAATTTTAGAAATCTTAACTAGTTGATGCTCTCATTATTCATAACACAAGCTGCTTTTCTACAGAATTTATCATAAAGTTCTTTGCTATGACTGTTATTTTACATGCTTAAATGTTACATTTTTAAGTACTTAAAAATGACAGTTTTTAAAAAATGCTTAGCAGAATATGAATATTTACATGGTGATGGCTGTGGGAATCTGACAACTGGGAGTAGCTGTTTGCTTTCAGTTTTGGAAAAGCACATGTAGGTAAGTGAGCCACCGCAGGCAGTCAGCTATGATTGCCATTTTGGCCCCACATCTTCTCTTCTTCCTTGAAATACAAAGATGGGGCAAACACCTTGAGAAAGAAGATGACCTGGTCTGAAACTGCTGGAAGTAAGAATGAAGAGTACAAAGCTTTGATACTCTGAATCCTTTTAGTTTCTCTGCTTCAAAGTGATAGAGATAAGAGGATGCTTTCTAGTGAAAGGAAGGGTATGTGGGCTTCCTATATTTCTGTTTTCCAATAGTCATGTTGTAGCAATAGGAGTTACACAGTAGAGGAGCCCTCATAGAATTTCAAATTGGAAAGCACTTGGAGAGATCATTTAATGTAAATCTTGTCTTCAGAGCTATTTTAGATAAATGATATAAATATAAAAGATATTTTCTCTTAGATAAATGAGAAACTCTCCTATTTTAAAAGAGGGAAATTTTAAGATTTCTCATAATAACCTAAAGGACTGGAATTGCAAATCTTTTTTTGAAATTAAAGTTCTTCGTGTTGCGTCTTTTGTCTTATTCTCTCAGTGCAGATAAGGAGTATCTTCCTCTTTTGAGGAAAAACATTCATATGTCTTAATAAATCAGCCTTAGCCTATAGATTCTTAATCCTATTCATACATCAGAATCACCTCTGGAGATTTTTAAAAATACACCTGCAATGGTCCTTGCTCTGAAATTTCTGGTTTGTCAGGTCTGGGGTGAGACTGAGCCCCCTGCATGATTCTCAAATACTGCCAAGGGTTTTCTTCTCCAGACTTAATAGTATTTAATAGTATCAGCTGTTTTAACTTTCTAAATTAGTCAGATTTTTCAGCCCTTTGGACACTGAAATTATACAGTGCTGAATGCTATTTTTGTTTTCCATATCATTCTAGTAGTAGAATTATGATCCAAGCAGAGTACATTCATAAGGATTCATAAGGATTTGTCTTAAGGCAAATAAAATGGGAAGGTTACTTCATATCATATAGTCAAGGAAGGATGAACTATAGGGACCAAGTAACTTATAGTCTGACTTCTAATTTTACATAGCTAGTTATCAACTATAACTATATCCAACTAGATCCTAGTACACTTTTAGTTAATAAGGTTAAATTATACTTTAAATTGTTGAAGTTGAAACAATTTTTATACATACGTATACACATGATACACTCTTTTACATCTGCTGTTTAGAATTTGGGTGAGGCAAATGTTTCTCAGAACTAAATCTACTGGCAGAGAGTTTTGAAATTTGGGAAGATTTTTTTGGTAGCTCTTTAGTAGCATTAATGTGTGTAAATGTATTCTATATAAAATACATTACACTTTATTTTTAAGGGAGCTCTTGTGAGTGCCTTGGCTGATGACACCTTACATTTATGGAATTTACGTCAAAAGAGACCTGCCATACTACATTCACTTAAATTTTGCAGAGAAAGGTAAGAATTTTCTCAGTTATTTTATATATATATATGTTATTTGCTATTCTTTTTTGAAATTTTCCTTTGAATTTTATTCTTTAATTTCATTTTTCTGTGATGGATTTTATGCACAATCTAAAAACTAATTCAAAAACTTCAAAGCATATACGATAAAAATCAAGTTTCCTTCCTTTCCAGACCCATCTTCCTCTCCAGAGGCACCCACATAAAGTTCTTTTGTGTCCTTCTAGAAATACTTACAGTCTGTATACATAAGCAGAAATCTCTCCATATAGCTATTTTATTTGCATAAAAGGGAAGGCATTACATATTCTGTAACTTGTGTTCACTTAGCAATATATCTGATAGGTCGTTTCATATTGGTATATTTAAATCTTCTTTAGTCATTTTCATAACTGCATGATATTTCATTGTATCGAAGTGCCATATTTTATTCAGTCAGACTTCATCAATTGACTGGACGTTTGATATATCCAGGACTGGATTTGATATAAGTGGACACATATCATTTTCAGCCTGCTGTTCATTATGCTCTGTGATGTTACATATATTTCTTTGTCCACTTATGCAAGTATATCTGTAAGATAGATTTGTAGACGTGGAACGACTTGATCAAAGAAATCTCTCACATGACCTGAGTTTTGTGCTTTGATTGGAAAGGCCATTTTCACTCCAATTTTATTAAACGTTCTCCCATATTTTATAGTGCTCTTATAGCTGCATTTTTATGCTTAAACTTTGATTCATATGGAACTAACTTTGGCATGAACTATGAGTAAGGAATATAGTCCCCCCCTCCCCCATTGCTTATGAGATATATTTTTGATGTGTGTTTGTGTGTTAAGGTTAAGAAGTCTAGCTAGTATCTAAATGCAGTGGAGTTAGTGTCAGGCCTTGCCTGGGGGAAGGCAGGCATTAGACTACCCAATCCATGTCCAAGGATCAGGCCATGTCCCTGTTTTGATAAATATCAATCCATTCAGGTTGTATAAACTGATCAGTCTGTTTGTGAGCCTGGGCTTCTGCCCACAGTGGCTTTCTAAAGTAGGCAAGCTAAAGAGGCTGCTGGGAATATAGCAATCCAGACTTTTCTGGCCAACGTCAGGGCATGTCTACATTGTATGCCAGGCCAGAGCTGGCAGGGGGTCAGTAGCAAAGTTTGCTATTGGGCTACATCTTGTCTGGGAAGATAAATCATCTAAGTGGCTTGGAATCATGGTTCTACTTCTAGGAGAAGTAGAAGGAGGGGTTAATGGAAGGAGGGAGGGATGAGATAGGGGAGGAAAAGCAAGCAAAAAGTCAAGGTTCATTCTTCTCTGCCTGATGGGAGTAAGGCTATCTCAACTTGCTGGGCAGAGTTTCTTTGTCTGTTTGCCAGTGGGATCTCAAGGGGAGCCCTCCATCAGCCTCAAATGCCATAGGGCTGGTGGAAATAGTGGTGGGCATCTTAGTCCCAGTACCTATCTTCTTGCCGTCAGTCTCATACTGGAAATGGAAGTGTAGATCTAGCAGAGTTGTTGTCAACCTGGTGCATTTTTACCCGCCAGAGGGCATTTGACAATGTCTGGAGACATTTTTTTATACAGTTGGGAGTTGGGGGTGGGCGAGCAGTGCTAATGGCATCTAGTAGATAAAAACAGGGCTACTGTCAAATATGTTACAAATCGCAAGACAGCCCCCCATTCCGTAACAAAGAATTGTCTGGTCCAAAATATCAAGTGTCAAAGTTAAGAAAACCTGTGCTCTAGCACATCAGAGTGGTGTCATTTGATTGGTGTAGTGCTGTAGAAGTTCTCTTAAACCACCATCCACTGAAGGGTTTCTTCCAGGATGTAGAATTCTAGTAGAAGAATATTCTCCAGTGGCGTGCCCATATTCCTCATTGAGACACAGGAATGTGGCACTATGTGGTCCAAGTTCACAAACATACACTGCAGGTCATCATGGTAATGTTCAGGAAGGATCATACCTCAAGGAGTTCCAGAGTGGTCAGTCCCATGATTGTCTGGTACATAGTAAGTCTCCTCTAGAGTACCCCTAAGGATGGTCTCCAAGAAGTTCTGATAAATGTGGATAAGGAACAGTAAGCTAGTCTCTAAGGTACCTGTAGGCACATATCTTGACAAACAGAAGGCACCTTTGTGTGAAATACAAAAAAGTAGCCCTTCTTGGTGGATGCAGCTTCAGAGTCCACCACTCCCCTCCTTGGTTGGGTGCTGTTATTCAGGCCACAGCCTGTACAATTGTATGAGGTGATCCGAAAAGTTACAAATGAAATGAACTGATGGAGTTCCCAGTTTTGAGTTCTGTAATACACTTTACCCACCTCACCAGCAGAAACTAGTTGATTCTGTTCAAAGTTGAGCTCCTCCTCGGCCTTTATTAGGACCACAAGAAACAAGAAACTGTAGCATGAGTAACTTGGTCCTTGAATATCTTCTTTGGATGAAATCCTCTAGGATGGCTACAAACTTGTATGGCAGCTTTTGTACTTGCATGCTAAGAAATGGGCCTGATGCCTCATGGATGAACCTTGTTATATTCTCTCAAGACTAAAGTTCAGATTTCCTCAAATGGCAAGAAAGAGAGAGGTGGCATTTGGGAGGAGCCTACTTTTCCTCAGCACCTGGTTACAGGTTGGGAGGGGAAGGCATAGTAGAGGCTTTCCTCCAGCTCTAGCAACCTGCCTATGGTGGCAAGGCTTATTCTGCCCCTCACCCTGAGCTCTCTGTCATTCACGACTTTTCCTAATGCCCTGTAATCAGTACTCTGATGGAAGCCTTCTGTTGGAGCAGCTGCCCCAGGCAGGGGAGGGATAGAAGCCTGTCACTTCCTGCCCATCCTTCCATCTCTCTCATTTGTAGAAATCCATTCTTTTCTTTACACAGCTGCCTTGCATGCAGTTTTTATATCTGTATCAGGATAGTCTGGTGTTATGCTGTGGTAACAGAATACTCAAAATCTGAAAGACTTAAAAGAGCAACAGTTTATTTTTACTTATGCTGTATGTTCTTTGTGGATTTGCTGGAACTCTCTTCCTTTTCATTATCAGTTTTATTCCAGAATCCTGGCTGAGGAACAGCCAGTCTTTACAATATTACCAGTCACTGAAGCAGACAGAAAAAGAATATGGTGAAGCATGTTTTGGCTCTTAAAGCTTCTGCCTGGAAGTGATACTATCTCTTCCACTCTCATTTCTTGGCCCAGAGCAAGTCCCATGGCCATCCCTAGTTTTACTCATCTAACCAAGAAGGAAAAGAGCTAGAATCTTTATGAATACTTGTAATAACTACCACACAGCTTATTTTTTTTTTTTTTTTTTTTTTTTGCGGTATGCGGGCCTTTCACAGTTGTGGCCTCTCCCGTTGCGGAGCACAGGCTCCGGACGCGCAGGCTCAGCGGCCATGGCTCACGGGCCCAGCCGCTCCACAGCATGTGGGATCCTCCCAGACTGGGGCACGAACCCGCATCCCCTGCATCGGCAGGTGGACTCTCAACCACTGCGCCACCAGGGAAGCCCACAGCTTATTTTTATTGTTGACATTGAAGTACAATAAGCAGTAGCCTAGTTAGTTTTCCCCTCATTCCACAGTGGATTTGGGCTAACTTAACAGTTAAGTTACTCTATTTCATTTTTATGCTATTTGCATTTTTATTTCCGAAACTAGGAAAGGGAGGAGAAATACGAAAATTTTATAAACCAGTTTTATTACATTCTGAACAAGTGTTAAATAATTCAGAGATTTTATTGTAATATTGTCTTATTTTAATAACTAGTTAAATTCTCTTATTTTAGTAGAAATTCACATAAATAGAAATTGTAATGATTTAAACTGTATTTTTTCATAATGTAGATTTTTTTCTGGTTTTAAAAAAATTGTGCTATAATATACATAACATAAAGTTTACTTTCTTAACCATTTTTAAGTGCACAGTTCAGTAGTGTTCACACTGTTATGCAACCATGTGATATGGATATTTTGACAGAATTTCACTTTTATGGTTTTTAAGAAAAAAATATAGAAATTGGAGTCTCAAGTCTTGGTTTAACTACATGAATTTAGACGTTACTTCACTGCTTTGTGTGTTGGTTTTGGTAGAAACTGTGAATTTGACATGTAAAATTCTATCTGGCAGTTGCCTTATCAGAATATGTTCCATTTAGCTTCTATGTTTTTTTTTTTCCTTTAAAGGAAGTTTAATTGGAGGAAGTTGTAGGTTTAAAAGCAACTACAACTGTCAGCTAGTCTTTCTTCATCACCTTGAATTAGCATGACCAATATTCTTATCCATGTTAAATTTTTGCATAACAGTTTTTAAATAAGAATAAACTATATATCTGGGCTTTCCTATTTAGGACTTACTATTCCCTAAGTGAAATTTCAGAAGATAGAATCTTTTCTCCATAAATATATTAGACCCCTGAATTGCTGAGTCTGTATATTGAAACCAATACATTTCTTTTAAAGGTATGTTTTCTTTTACTCTAACACTCTGAGTTACAGTTTATTTACTCTGACTTAAGCTTTTTCATTTGATGATAGATACATCTATTGGTTTAGGGAATAAAATAAGCATGCATGCATTCTAAACTAATGGTTAGGAAAATACAGTAGTATATGGATTAATAATCCATTAATAATCAAAATTTCATCTTAATAATTATCAATGGAGCATCAATGTCCAAAGTCCTCTAAAGGGGAAAAAGAAAAACTGATAAAAGGAGTAATCCATTCAGATAACAACACAGCAGTTGGGAGAGTTGGTGCTTATGAGGTACTTCAGGAACTGACTGCTGCCGTAGCATCAGATTTTCTTAGTAGCATAGATAAAATAATGTAGAAACAAAAACTTAATTGGTCCCATTATATTCTTATTATGATACTACCTAAATACTGTGTTTTGCATATTTGTGAGGCTTACAGTTTGCTTAGTCTGCACAAGAACAGGGCATAGCTGTAAAAGAGAATTTAGCTAGATATCGGCCCTCAAAAAGT